TTACATTCAGCGTTTCACTGAAACACAGCGAGGTGAATCCACCGCTCACATCACTGCATCACTGACAGTCAGTATCTGCCTTGTCTCAATATGTCATTCATAAAATATACTGTGCTGATATTACAGTGCAAACAGACAGTGCAGTTATCCATGTTATTCATTCATTTTCTGTAACCACTTATCCTGTTTGGGGTCGTGGGGGGGTGGAGCCTATCCCAGCTGACATTGGGTGAGAGGCGGGTCACCAGACTATCACAGGACTGACACATAGTAGTCTGGGGACACTCCTTTCTAAAGTGTGTTTAACACACCGGCGAAAACGGCCGGCAACAAAGCAACGCCTCCTGCATTTTTGAAAAGGACACGCCTTCTCGGAAATGTGCGCTCCCCCTTTTCTCGTCCGCAAGGAAACAAACACACAGAGAGCTTGAAAATGGATGCCGAGAGATTTAACTCCGTTTTATCAAACGTGTGCTCATCCGTAAATAAAATATTTTTTCCAGTGGATGTCTTAGTTACAACATTATTGAGCTAACTGGAGTAGTTTCATGTCGTATCTGACAACGGGAGGCTTTTAACAGATGATGTCCTGATGTTAGCTTTGCTGCTAGTGTTAACGTTAGCTGTCCCTGTCAGCTGCAGCCACTGATACTTTCTAGACATCGTGATTTCCCAAAACTGATTAAATACCACACATAGCAACACAAAACTGCTTTGCTAGCTCAATCATGTTGTAACTAAGATATCCGCTGGAAAAGATATTTTTTTCACGGACCGTTTAATGAGTTATTACCTATTACAGAGACCGCTAACGGCTAACAGGGCTAACAGCTAACGGTTAGCCCAGCTAAACGTGCACACAGAAATAGTAATGTCTGTTCAATCATTGTGTTTATAGACTTTACAAACATTGGATTAGTCCAAACGGTGATACAGTGATGTGAAAAATGTGATATATAGGCTATATATATAGCTAAAAGCTCTGCTGGTTTTTTACCCGGAAGTATTTGTAAACAAGAAGGCCTTTACCTTTATAGTCCGGCCGGACGGATGAGTCATGGCCTTGTAAAAGATTATGTTTGTTTCTTTTAGTTGGTGAGAATGTGTCGCCGCAAACACGACAAACATCCACTAACTTTGACGGCATTTTCTGCGAGCACGGCTGAGCCATTTTGTACCGCTACACGTGTTTCTAGTGGGACTATGTTTACGAGCACAAGAGTTCAGCGAGTGACCGAAGGACCGCCCTGCAGATTTACTATTGGTTCTGCAACGTAGGGAGTTTTTTAAACTCTGAAATTGTATCCGCCCATCTAAACACAAAATCAGGGAGAAAGTCATCAGTCTTTAGTTAAGCAAAGCGTCTAAAGACTGACTTGTGAGTCTAAGCACATAGAGACAGACAACCATTCACACTCACATTCACACCTACGGACAATTTAGAGTCACCAATTAACCTGCATGTCTTTGGACTGTGGGAGGAAGCTGGAGCACCTGGAGGAAACCCACGCTGACACAGGGAGAACATGTCAGAGCACCTGGAGGAAAATGCATTTTATTTCATTCAACAACAACAATATGGTTTCACCACGTTTTTTTTTGTTTTTTTAGTGAGTCATTGCTGCCTATCCAGCAGCTTTTCAGGCACCAAACATGGGTGTTTTCCTGTCACTGTGTTTCCAGCAGGGATTGAGTCCCCAAAACCAGGTGTTTTAGCCAAAACAGGATCTTTTCCAAACTATAACCAAGTGGTTTTTGTGCCTAAACATAACCACATGTCAACCACAGTGTTGTTAAATGTACAAATGTAATGTAAACAAATGTGGTTTGCAGAAATGAACGATGCCAACATTTACTCTGGTGATTGAGTTGAATATTTCCATCTCAACAAGCTGCAATGTTAAAATGAAGCTCAGAAGTCAATGCATTAAGAAACAACAACAATAATAATAATAATAATAATAATAATGTAATTTGACATATATGATAGTGTGTGACTCTAAAATGAGCCTAAATAACAAAGATTCCCAGTGAGGCAACATTCTGCATGACAGGCACATTTACTTTTAATTTTCAGGTACATTTTCTTGCACATTGTGCTCACTGAAGTATTTCTATACCGTGGTAATGGTATTTTTTCTGCAGTAAAAGATGTTGATGTATTTTCCACCCCTGCTTACATCAGACAGAAAACACACAGTTATATAAAGATAATTTAAATGTGTCCTGAGGCTGTGACATCACTTCTGTCAGAGGTACCGTGAATCTATATATTTACAGCTGGAGTGTCTCTAATGAGACTCTGGCAGCGTAATGTCTTCTTCAATCACTGAGCTGCACAGGAAGTTGAACCTCTAACCCTGCCGGCGGTTCTCCTCCTCACCCATTAGCATACAGCGAGGCTCCAGCGTTACACCAGAGGAGCCATGTTGTTGGTGAGAGTCACAAAGGGCAAACGCAGTAATGAAGAAGGAGCCATGGACTAATATGTATTGGCTCACAGTTAACAAGTCCCCCTACTCTGTGCTCCGAGCCACAGCGCTCCTCTAACTAGCCCTCTGTGATGTGCCTGAGACAAAGAGCTGCCGTCCAGAATGATAACGATGAAGCGTCTTCATAATGAATATCAAGCCGAGGGCTGATAAATGCTCGCAGAATTGAGCAGGTAGAACAAGGTGTTATTAACGCTGCCACAGCTAACGACCGTGCTCCCCTCAGGGTGGGAAGATGTATGAAATCTGATGAAAGCTTCCCCCATAACCAATCTATCACACACACACACACACACACACACACACACACACACACACAGCTCAGTGTCAGGCTGCAGCTCAGTTGGTTAGTGACATCAGATTGGCTCATCGCTCACCTGTAAACGAGTCACAGCTAAGGTGACCTACATGCAGCCTGATACACTTCAGCTGAATGGAAGTTTGTTTGTGCTTCACAGCTTTGAATCATTTCAACTAAAGAACAACACAAACAGAACGCTCTGAATCAGGACCAGGACGATACGCTGATCTACTCATTCAATACTGTCACCATACCTTAGAGCTCGTTCAACATGTGACGTGATTTTTTATTATTGTGATACAATATCACAGTTTATTGCAATTTTCAACACTAGACCGCAAGAAAAAGTAGAATCCAACAGCCAACACACACACGTGGTTACGTTTAGCCGACACACCCACGTGGTTACGTTTGGTCAACAGACACACACGTGGTTACTTTTAGCCGACACACACACGTGGTTACGTTTAGCCGACACACATCCATAAGGATTTAAAATGGCTGCATGCAGCATATTGATTATCTCAACCCCTCCTTGCCCTGCCCTCCCCTCTCTCTGTTTATCAGACCAGAAACGAGACAAGAATTAGCGACCTAGCCAACATGTTGTTCCTTCGCCTCACTCTCCACAATTCGGAGACTATTTAGAAGCAGTAATGCAGGCGGAAGCACCACAGAAGGACTCAGTAGCACCTGTAACAACTGGAATTCAGAGGGCATAAACCCCAGCGTTGGGGTTCACAGCTGGCTTGGTCTGATCTGTGTAACAGCAGCAACAGAAAGTTTGCTAATCTGACAAATGCTATCAAATAGTTGTTAAGACATTTCACTAAAATGTCTCCCACCCATGTGGGAGACCTTTACAGCACGTTGGCATGGTGACGACTTTCTCAGTGTCAGATCAGCAGTATTTAACTGAGCTAAGAACCTAAACACTGGAACCTAGCTGCCGCTGTGGCCGGAACACAAACCAGTGTTTACTGCCCTCCTGAGGAACAACAACAGTCCATCATGTTGAACTCTGTTTGGACGGTGTGTGTCGGAGTGTGTGTGGCTGACTGCAGATTATTGGACTGAATGTGTACTGTTGTTTTCATTATCCTCTAATGATGGTGGAGGCTTTAAGGCGCAGTTGGAGCGGATGTTTCTGATGTTTCCTGTCACAACTCTCGTCTCTCTTGTTGAGTTATTTTTATATTTGTTGGCTCCAAATCTTCTGCCTCTTCCTGTCATACTCATATAGAGGATGTTTCTGGTAAATCAATCTGCATTTGTATAGATTCTTACTAGGCCTAGTGGCACTTGGTCAGTGACTTCCTGTGTCAGACACTGACGAAAAAAGCCTTTCATGTCGGAATGATACGCAGCTGCTCACCGTTATCCTATAATGGTATCAGGGAAACACGGCCACACGTGTGTGTGTGTGTTGGCTAAACGTAACCATGTGTGTGTGTGTGTGTGTTGGCTAAATGTAACCACGTGTGTGTGTGTGTGTGTTGGCTAAACGTAGCCGTGTGTGTGTGTTGGCTAAATGTAACCACGTGTGTGTGTGTTGGCTAAATGTAACCACGTGTGTGTGTGTGTGTTGGCTAAATGTAACCACGTGTGTGTGTGTTGGCTAAATGTAACCACGTGTGTGTGTGTGTGTTGGCTAAACGTAGCCGTGTGTGTGTGTTGGCTAAATNGTGTGTGTGTGTTGGCTAAATGTAACCACGTGTGTGTGTGTTGGTTAAACGTAACCATGTGTGTGTGTGTGTTGGCTAAACGTAGCCATGTGTGTGTGTGTTGGCTAAATGTAACCACGTGTGTGTGTGTGTTGGCTAAACGTAGCCATGTGTGTGTGTGTTGGCTAAATGTAAGCACGTGTGTGTGTGTTGGCTAAATGTAACCACGTGTGTGTGTGTTGGCTAAATGTAACCACGTGTGTGTGTTGGCTAAACGTAACCACGTGTGTGTGTGTGTTGGCTAAACGTAACCAAAGGATGACCATCAAGAGCAAATCAGGGTTCAGTATCTTGCCTTGACTTGCCAGTGACTGATTTCAGGTGACACCATGTACGGTAGCCTCGGTCACCGCTGTGTGAACATGAATGGGTGAATGTGACATGTGATGTTAAAGCTCTTTGAGTGGTCAGAAGACCAGAAAGAATCCATACCAGTGCAGATCTATTTACCACTAACTTTCCTGTCTCCTCTCATGTCTGCAGGAAACGCCTTCGTGGTGAGTCTGGCTCTTGCTGACCTGGTAGTCGCCATCTATCCCTACCCGCTGGTCCTGACCGCCATCTTCCACGACGGCTGGATCGCCGGCTACATTCACTGTCAGATCAGTGGCTTCCTGATGGGCCTCAGCGTCATTGGCTCCATCTTCAACATCACGGGTATCGCCATCAACCGCTACTGCTACATCTGCCACAGCCTTAAGTACGACAAACTCTTCTCCAACAGCAACACCATGTGCTACGTTGTCATCGTCTGGGCGCTCACCATCCTCGCCATCGTGCCAAACTGGTTTGTGGAGTCACTGCAGTACGACCCGCGGGTGTACTCCTGCACCTTCGCCCAGTCGGTCAGCTCATTGTACACCATCACGGTGGTGGTGGTGCACTTCATCCTGCCCATCGGCATCGTCAGCTACTGCTACCTGCGGATCTGGATCCTCGTGATCCAGGTGAGGCGGAGGGTCAAGCCGGACTCGCGGCCAAAGATTAAGCCACATGACCTTCGCAACTTCCTCACCATGTTTGTGGTATTTGTGCTCTTCGCCGTCTGCTGGGCGCCGCTGAATCTGATCGGCCTGGCCGTGGCGCTGGACTCCAGGCTGAGCCGGGCGATACCGGAGTGGCTGTTCACGGCCAGCTACTTCATGGCGTACTTCAACAGCTGCCTCAACGCCGTCGTCTACGGCGTCCTAAACCACAACTTCAGGAAGGAGTACAAGAGGATCGTCCTGATCATCTTCAAGTTTCACTGCTGAGATGGAACACTGTGGTGAAGGCTGGCGGCCATTTTTAATTTCTGAGGAAATAAAAGGCTGAAAAAGACGAACTCGACCTCGACAGAGAGGAAAACTGTTGTAATGAAAAACAAATCAAGGTACTGAACGAAGAGGAAAAACACTTTGGATGAGAAAGAAAAATAAAAAGAACTTTAATAGCTGGAGGTCAGGAGGAGGAGGAGGAGGAGGAGGAGGAGAGATGAAGTAAAATAAATGATCCCACACTCAGAGTTATCAGTGATGCCTTCAGGGTACCTGAGAGACTGTAGGAACACAGAGGGAGGTGGAGGTCGGAGTTTGGGAGCAGCTCTTAACTTAGTAAAGTGTTTAATTGTGACTTTATCTGAAGTCATGAACTTCTGTTTGAATTCAAAACTAGTTGCTGATGTCTTTAACATGATGTTGGATTATTGTGATCATCTTCTTCCCTCTGATTCATTTTGATGCATCAAATCCAGAAACTTGACAGAAAAACTGCGATACTGTGATTTTTTAAAGGACAGTGGCATCAACACTGTAAATCTGACTAATGCTGCTCCGCACCAACAAAAAGGAATTCACAGAACAGAATAACACACAGGTGCATTCTGGGAATATGAAGACATGATTAAAGGTGCAACACGCACATTTTCAAACATGAAGACTTAATGTGAAGCTGACACTCTTTTACGCTCGTTTGTTTACATCCATTATTTTCATACGTTAAAGTTAACAAAGGATTTTCTGACCAAACCAAACTCTCACTGGGACGAAGGAGGATGAAGTGATGGACGGAGGAATGGACAGAGAGCCAAGTCATAAACCTGCTCACAGCTCCGCAAAATCAAAATGTGCAATCTGACTCTGACCTGTGACTTGACGACTTGAGATGACTTGGTAGCTTTCCCAAAGGTAAAAATGATCTTACTGATAGTTACACAGGAGTGATCAGAGACTTGCAGATTAAACATCTTTTTTTTTCTGGCTGTGAAAACTGAAGCAAAGTTCACGTCTGATTTCTAACAGACTGTTTCACAGAGTAAGTTAACACCAGTCTGTGGTCAGAAATGTGCTCCGCTGCACCTGTAACCAAACAGTGATGTCACAGACAGGTGTAGTGCTGCTGGAGTGACCAAGAACAACGACCTCCAACTGAGGAAATATTTAGTTTCCACAATCTGGTGTAAAATTCGCAAACATTTTTATCTGTTAAAGATCTGATTATCTCTGAAGCGTCACACAAGACAGACAATAAAAACAAATGGAACGGTCAAAGTTGTCATATTTTAAAAAGATAACTTCACCAGCAAAATGAACATCTGTATATCAGTGACTCACAGCACGTTATGGTGACTTCATGAAGAAGACTGTTTGTCTCTCATGCCTCCACAGTGCACGGAGAATCAGAAAGTCTCACCTCGCTGCAGTGACATCAAGTGGACTCCAGGACCTCCTGATCAGGGCTGTAGAGCTCACATACGATGCACACGCCTGAGTTGTGACTCGTTTCGAAGGGTGTGTGACCACTGTTCATATGGTGACAAGTTTACAGACATCAGTCAACTCAAACACACCACACACATAAAATAGAGTTTATGAATAGTTCATTATGTTGAGAATATCAGGCGACAGTCGAGCTAACACAGTGTCAGGTAACAACCACATGTGAAACATCTATCCTGGGAAAGTGACAGTTGAGGCAGAGGTCAGATGAAAACTTGTCTAAGTTTGCTTTGGCGTCCTGCAGGCGGTGTGAACGCAGCAGCTGCACACGTTTAACACACTCACCGTGTCTTTATAAATTCATCACAGATAAAGTGTCAGAGGAGAGACGATCGTTTCTCAAAGGCTCCGACTGGCATTTACCTGCAGCTTTAAAGGTTTCCTTGCATGTTACTGAGTGCATGAGCTGACACTGTTAATAAATGAACACATGTTAAAGGAATGTTTAACGGTACTGAGGTGACTCACAGCTTCACACACTGAGTGATGCTGCAGGCTTATTACTGCTCCGACTGTGGAGCTCAACATAGAGGGAACATTAAGAACTAATCTAACGTTCTGTGTGTGTGTGTGTGTGTGTGTGTGTGTGCGCTAGCTGCAGGTGTCTCACCTGGCAGCTGTAGCTCCGCCTCTTTTTCCTTCCATGCTCCGTCCTTCTCTCCTTGATCATGGTCAGAGCTGGAGGACACGTCACAAGGTTTTCCTCACAATTCTTTTAGCTCTTTGGTTTTGCCTCCATGGCGAGCTGCTATCTGTCTGTTTGATTGGCTCATTTCATGCTGCATTTCTATTGGTTGGTCAGTAGTCGTAGGTGGTGACAGCATCACGCTGTCCCAAGTTTGATCCCAGGCTGTCTTTGATCACAGACCGTGACAACGACCATCTTTGATCCTCTCTGACTGTGTGACGTAGGACCACCGTGTTGGAGCCACGCCAAAGATATCAACACGTTTCTTTACCACTGGTCGTCTTCAGTCTGGGACAGACCAGGGTCACACTGTGGACACAAACCTGGCTTTACACACAAACTTCATCACATGCTAATCTCAACCTGCGACATCCAACCAAACCTGATAGTATTTTATGTAGATGTGTGTCTGGCTGCTGCCTGGTGTTGTCTATACAGTGAGACTATTCATAAACTCTGTATAACGTGTGTGAGAGATCCTGTAGAGTTGGCCGATGTTATGTATGTACGTCACATGACCTTCGAAAGGAGCCACAACTAAAGCGTGTGCATCATGGATGATCATGTATGATGATGCAGCCCTGATCAGGAGGTCCTGGAGTCCAGCTGACGTCACTGCAGCGAGGTGAGAAGTTAACCTGTGTTCCTACACCTCTGATGCGATGTCATCAAGGTTTCAGTCCGGCTGACTTCAGCACTGTGACAGAAAAGCACTCAAAGCTGAATGTCTCAGTGCAGCCTGACATCACTCTGCAAATCAGACACGTGCACTCCCAGTAAATAACCCTGTAACACCCAGGGCTCTGCGTCTCCCTCGCCGTCATCAATACTCGATAATAATGACTTGTTGAAGACTCGACACTGATGGTTTAGGACTCGACTCTCAGCACCAACATCTGGGACTGAGACCTGTGACTCTGACTCAGCTGTGCAGTTGATCCTCTGTGGTTGAAGCTGTTTGTGCTGCTGAGTGTTGTCTCCTCTGGACTCTCTCTGTCTCTCTGTCGTCCATCTCTTCTACCTGAGACAGGAACAACACAGGTGGGACGGACTATCCACCCCCGCCACATCCTGCAGAACTCCACCCGGATGTTTTATCACACGTGGAGCAGAGGTGTCTGTGTGGAAGACACCACAGAGGAAGAACAGATGAAGCACAGTGTCTGTTATTTAGAAGCAATACTGTGTGCACTTTGATCTCTGACCTGCCCTCACTCACCTCAGCTGTTCACTTCAGAAACACTTCACACACTGGGCTCACTCATTCATCACACACTGGGCTCACTCATTCATCACACACCTGCAGCAGCAGAGTGGACTCACTTGGACACACATTAAAACAAACAGAGGTGAGGATGAGTAATGAAGTTGTGAACAGTATATTCTGACCACATCACTGTGTCTCACTCTCCTGGAAGATGAATGTTGAACATGTATGAATGAGTGAGGTGTTGCTGCTGTATGAATGAGTGAGCTGTTGCTGCTGTATGAATGAGTGAGCTGTTGCTGCTGTGACCGCCTGCCTGTGCTTCAGTCCCATTTCACTCAGCTCCACTACATGTGCATGTGAACGTGTGTTTGTTTCAGGCTGTTCAAAGCACCAACTCACCTGACAGCTGCTGACCTGCAGGAGCGTTCCCCAAAAGCAAAGCATTTCTAAAAGCAGCTGCTGCCTCTGTGGTCCTCTGTGGTCCTCTGTGGGCGAGGCTGACAGGAAGGAGCTCTGGTGAACGTCACTGATGGAACTGCAGCTGTAACAAGAGTAATGTCATCTGAAGTCTGGTGGAAATGTCGCAGTAGCTCTCCTGGTTGTGTGTAAAAGTTGTTAGACAGGAACTCAAACACTTTATCAGCTCCTCCGTCTTTTGCTTCTATGATGATCGGCCAAAGCCAGGAGGCAGCGAACAGTTCATGGGGGCGATAACCACTTCAAACCCATTCCGCCATTTTGGAAAACACTCTCCCTCTGACACTCATTGAAGTGACTGGAAGTGGTGAGTTACCGTGTGGTGGTGTGAAACCCCCTAAAGGTTCACCAGTGACCTTTACAGTGAGACCGTTCTCCCAAACCAACCAACCAGCAGCTCTTTACCAAATATATTAAGGTTTATTGTTCAGCCCTGATTGCACAGAAAAAGTTTTGCAGATTGCACGACACTCTGAATGCCACCCCATCACCTCCTCACCCTAACCTTCCTGTGTGATCAGTCTACAGTTTGTGTATCCTGCAGTAATCAGTGTGTAGCTGCTGCCATGTTGAGGCAGAGGGTGCTGTCTGTAGCTCTGGTTGAGGGTGAGAGGCTGTCAGCAGATAAACAGAGATCTGTGTGGGTACATGAGACCCTAAAAAAGAGGCTGGATCATGGGGAGTACCACCAGTTGGTCCAGGAGCTTCTCCTCCATCATGGACGTTTACAGTACTGCACTTATCTGCTGTTTTCTATTCACATGCTGCTAACTGTGCTTTGTAAAGTCGTATAGCTCTGGGTATCCAGCAACCACTACCACCAGTTTCTCCTCCATTGGTTACCAACTGTAAACTGGTTGTCGTGACCACCACAGAAGCCCCGCCTCTCACATCATACCAGTGGACTATAGGAATAAAGCAGAGATGACGTGGGGCGCTTTTCTGCTCTGAGCTGAAGTTTTTTCAACTCGAGGAGTTCAGAGCGCTCCAGGACAAACACCAGGCGCCTAGAGCGCAGAAACATGAGGTGCACAGCAACACAACAACAGCGAGCATGAAGCTTCATTCTCATTAAAAACTGCTACAAGCTGACGCCTCCAGCTGCTGAAACACTTCCTGTGTGATCGGGGCCTTAGGCGGCGACCCCTATATGAACAAAGGAGGAAGTCAGCTGACGCACTACAAAGAGCAACAAAGTTGGCGTCTGAAGGAGGTTGGGGTGGACGTATGGGTCAACAGACACAGG